ATGTATGTAACCCACACATTTGACTATCATGTTCTAATCACTTATTGTGTGTATATTTTGAATAACTATTGAATAGTTTATAGGATTATATTCATGTTGGGTATGTATGAGTTTGAAAATTCATGCTATAAACGTTTCTATCAATCAATACTTTGTCAAACGTATCATATTTTTGTTATAGAAATTATGTCAAAAATTATACTCTGCAAGAGCGGGAAAATTCGGACCATGTGACTGATAAGAAATATAGCAACACCCCGAGCTAAGACAGTGTCTAATTGGTCAAAACACCAGTTGGGATGTGTCCAACAACCTGGCTTAAATACTCAGGACACAATCAAATTATGTTTTTTTTAGCTTTTGCTTTTTAGCCACTGCTTTTAGCTTTTAGTTATGCTTCTAGCCTTTTTGCCACCGCATTTTGACGCTGCTTTTTAGCATTGAACGTGCTCTGGCTTAAACGCCAGCGGCTCCTCCAAAACCATGAGGAGAAACGCCACCTAGTCTCATCAAACTTTACTCTTTTAGTTCTTTTACTTTAGTTTATTTTCTTCTCCATTGAGAGTTTCGTTTTCTGAGTTAAGTTTTGTCTCAGAGTTCACCTCGAGTCTGTGACCGCCTCAAAACTTCAACCAGCCCACAACTCCGCATCTTGTGAGTGCGTGTTTATGTGTTAGACTAGTTTATGTGTCTTAGATTGATCTAATAAAGCCTTATTTATATTGAAAAGAGAAGTATCTTGTGTTTTGTGCTTACAAGTTAATGTCTTAAATTGCCGATCTTGTTACTGTGCTAATAAATAGTGTTTTCACTATACATTGGATATTAATATCCATTGCAGAATTGATGTTATACGGCTCGTTCAATGAATCGCTGGCCGACTCAATGATCAGCCGAAAAACAGTGATTCTGTCCAAATCCCCTATAAAATTATAAATGATTCCCTTTGAGTTAAATTGACCTGTTTCCCTTACGTTGTATAAGGCAAATCTGCAGGACCGGGCCATTGCAGCAATATGGCTTTTGAAACTGAACAAAACCTCAGGAGGACACGGCCACATGTTACATGAATATGAGAGGGATGCTATTACTGCATTCATTCAGCATTAGCCCAGCATGAATGCAGAATTTTGACGACATTGCATTCAGTCCTATGCTATACTTTGATATACAATGTCGCGGGATGAGATTCAGGGAATTTACCTGGAACCTCACAGTTTTTCACAAAACGTCATGTTGCCTGCCCTCCAGAGGAGCTGTGGTCTTTTGCCCCCAGGAGATAGGGACAACCACAGGGAAGAGAACAGAGAACCCCGCTCTTTCGTTTAAGCGTTCTCATGTATCAAAAAGCAACACGCTGCTCCGTGTGAGGTTCGAACTCACAACCTTCAGATTATGAGACTGACGCGCTGCCTAACTGCGCCAACGAGGTCTGTGGGCTGATGGAGCTGAACAGAGAAGCACTAGCTTCTAGTTCCTTGCCTTTAGGTGTAGCTCCCACCGTTCGGCTCTAGACAAGCGTGGGTGTCCGAGGATGGCCAAACAGTCTAAGGTGCTGTGTTCAGGTTGCAGTCTCCCCTGGAGGCGTGGGTTCGAATCCCACATCTGAAAAACCTCTCCTTTGGCTGTGGACAGAAATTTCAGTCTTCAGCCCTCCTCCAGCAGGGCGCTAACTTCACCAAAATCCCGCATTTCAGTCGACGTCAGAAATATTCAAACTGACCAATCAGCACACAACAGCTGCCCCCACTGTACAGGTGCATCTCAATAAATTAGAATGTTGTGGAAAAGTTCATTGGTGTGACAATTAGTAGGTCTCATTTCATAGTTTTCTTGCTTTTTCTTTTTCTCTTATTACTTTCTGAACTTCCTCAAATTTGAACTGAACTCATATTTCAATGCTTTAAAAAAAATTAAATTGTAATTCTTACCATTGACAACTGTGGTGCAACTCTTGCTGCCACAGGTGCAGTAGGCTGGGGCTGAGGGTCAGGCTGACTCTGCTCCATGGCCTTCTTTGCTGTTCCAGCAGCAGCAGCAGGTTGTTCCACCACCCTTTGTGCTGGTCCAGTAGGGCTGGGCTGCTTAAGAATTCGCTTAACAATGAATG